CACATGTGGTCTTTTGCAATTTCATCTGTGTACTTACAGCATTTAAAGTTTTTTTTTCTGCACACACACATATACACTCACACATACTCACGCACACATGTCTGCACACACACACACACACACACACACACATACACTCACACATACACTCACACACACACACACACACACACACACACACACACACACATACACATATTTAAACACACACACAAACATCACATACACAAACGTACTCATACAAATACACACACATATGCACACACATAAATATACATATACACAATCACACACATTTGCAGCCACAACATGAGAGAGAGAGAAAGAAAGAGAGAGAGAGAGAGAGAGAGAGAGAGAGAGAGAGAAAGAGAGAGGGTTTACTTTTGATTTTACAAATCAGAATGTGCTGTAATTTACACTGCAGAAGCTCAAGTTCAGTGGAGTCCACTTATAACGAGTCCTGAAACAACGAGAAGTCTGTTATAAAGACCCTATTCTAAAACCCCGTTTTTTCTCTTCTTTATCTTTGTAAATGAAATACTGCTATAGCACTTTCGGACAAACACGGGAGTCGGTTATAGCGGAATATTGCTGCTGCTGTGCACAGCGCACAGGCCAGTTATACATATAAACTTCACCAGTTGAGAAACCTGTTGGTGATCTAGCGAAACCTAGAATCTTACATCAACTCTTTGAGCGAAACAAAGAATGGGAGAGCCCACGTTTGCCAACAATTAAGGCCGGAGCGAATGAGTGGGGATGGTGTGGTATGCGCAGACAAGCAGAACACATCACGAGATAGGCCAGCCTAGTCTAGATTATCTAGGCCTACCACTACCCATGACCTCACTGCTCTGATATGGGGATGGAGAGGTCACAATGCTGTGATGGATGAAGTGAATGTGTAACTTTGACGTGCGCAAGCAGACGAAACACACCACGGGGTGTAGTGGGGTGGGGGACAACACAGCGGGCGAGTTAGCTCAGAGCACATTCTTTCTGATCACCAACGCCGTGCTGTCAACATTGCTAGCGCTAGAGAAAGAAACCCGATTTGATTTTTGATCAAGTAAGACCAAGAGGTCAGGTTGAACAATGTCATCATCAGGGGAGATAACAAAAAGAAATAAACAGAACACCAAACTCATAGATTAGGCCTACTTTGTTATGTCCATTGAATTTATTACTGGATTCCTTATAACGAGAATCCTAGTATAACGGACATTTCGCACTGGTCCACTCCCTCTCATTATAAGAGGATTCCACTGTATGCACCTTGCCAATGTCCTCCTTTTTTTTTGGATGATTAATTGATACTTTCCCTATTAATCTTCTTTGCATGAAGCACCCATCCAAGGTCAGCTGGTTTCCATGGCAATACCACTTGGGGAACCTCGATTAGAACCAGGGGTCAGACAGTCGGCTACTCCGATTCGGCCAGCTTCGAACCCCGTGACCTCCACCCCTGTGCCAGTGACAGCTGCCAGGAATGTGGCCTTGGTGTCTTTCCCTGTGGAGGAAGACCAAAACAAGACTCGAACCAGGGAGCCGGAGCTTGCAAAACAGGTGACTGCATTTGCCAGAAATTTAGGGAAATCCGTTATCAAAAATATTGATTTTTTAAATAATGAAGTTTTACTGGCTCAGGAAAAAATGTTTCCATAAATCACAACATCATTGAAGATGCTTTGATATTTTTACTCTCTCAAGCCTGTTCATACCATTTTTCTCCCCTTGAAATGTAATGTTATTTTTAATATTGCAGTGTCATGGAGTCCTCGTGGAGTATAACTCAAAATAAGAATGATAAATAATAATGAATTAAAAAAAAAAAAAGCATTTGTATAGCACATATCCCCACTTGACAGCAAGCTCTATGCACTTTGAAATCTATCTTATTGCCCTAGCTGAACCATAGAACACTGAAAAACATTTTTGGCTTCCCTGGAAGCTTACAGAGCAAGCAGCCAATTAGGAACTAAAACACCAAGAGACTGACATGATCTTTCGCTGTCTATAGCCGGTTACCCATTCCCACCTGGGTGAAGTGAGGAAAATTCATGTGAAGTGCATTTCTCTAAAACACAACAATAGGTTCTTGATGGTTTTCGAACCCACGACTTTTCAGTTGTGAGCCCAACAGCCTAAACATCTCTGTCATTTCTGTTATTATATTATTGAGATAAATATTAAGAGAGAGATTTTCTTTTGGTCAGAACACAATGTACTGATTATATATATGTTACTGTGGTATTGTAAAGTGTTCAGAGCCTGTGTAGTTTAGTCGGGGTTGAGCCCTATTTAAATGCCATGTATTATTATTATTATTATTATAATGATGATGATGATGATGATGATTATGATTATGATGATTATTTTTATTATTGTTATTATTATCATTATAATCATTATTATTATTTTATTATTATCATTGTTATTATCTTTATTATTATTATTATTATTATTATCATTATTATTATTATTATTATTATTATTATTATTATTACTACTATTATTATTATCAGCACTAGACCACCAATGACAATAAGAATTGTAACTCTACCATTTAAAAAAATGATTTTCTACCCCTGTTCTCTCTCTCTCTCTTGTACAGGTGCTTCCCCCTATTGACATTGACTCCATCTCTCCCTCGTCGTCTCGTCGCTCTGACATTCAGATCAGGAGTCCCCAGCAAGGCAATGCCAATGTAACCTTCTTACAGGAAGTACACGATGTAAGTTGGACGCATGGTTTAACTGTAATTTACTTTAAAAATCGTTTTTCCCAGCACTGAGTTTTTACCTCTCTCTATGATGTAACGATGTAAGTTGGACGCGTGGTTTAAAAGTAATTTACTTTAAAAATCGTTTTTTTCAAGCGCTGAACCTTTACCTATGTCCGTGATGTAATGATGAGGCTCTATATTCCATGGCACGCACAAGACGGGAGTTTGATTCCTGAGTTGGGAGGGGATTTTCAAGGGCCCTGATAGGCAGAATTGAGGTAGCTTATTTCCTGAAGGATTTCAGATTGTATCAATTTGGGCTGGAAACATTTGCAATTACAATTGATTTTTTCCCTATAGGATGATGTAGACCTTGACAAGACGATTACGGAAGAGGACTCTGACCTTGATCAGACAGGAGAGGGAATACAACTGCCGGGATACGAACCCAGAGTGGCAGAGTACTCTGGACCAAGTTTCCCGCCAAAAACTGGCAAGTCTGGCCCTGACTGGATGGCGGGAGGGGAGCAGACGCAGCCCCCACAGCAGATATCGGACGTCATGGCAGAGGACCTTCGAAGGAAGGATGTTTTGGAGAACAATGCCGTATACTGGTATGTGGCCTGTTGTGTGCTTTAGGAAAGGAGGGAACAAGATAAAAGTATTGTTTAACCCTATCCGTATGTCGTGTTTTACTATCGTATCCATACGACGTGCGGAACTCTGTGCCACCACTTTCAAAGAGGAAATTTACTCGTTAATCCGATGCCTACGCTTTACATAGCTGTCTGTCAAAATGATTTTTTGAGAAATACTGAACGTTTCAAAGAGATCTTCATACTAGAAGTATTTTAATATGGGAAGAATACAACCTGGGGGGTACAAAAATGACCCCAGGGTGGATGGATAGGGTTAATAAAGATACAGTGAGATTGAAAAAGTCATTTAAAGACGAAATCATCAAAGAAATCCACCCATTGTTGAAGAGAAAATTGATCGTCTTTGACTGGTGGACATTTTGGACTGTCATTACAATGGAAACCCCCCCAAAAAAAGCAGGGGAGGGGGGGGGGGGATGTTGGGAACTGGTTGTTTATAAAGGTAATTGTCTCAGATAGAACAGGTTTGACTGTGTATATGTAAGATATTGTTAATAACTTTCCCTACTTCTTCTTGTTTACTTTAAAGAATTATTTTCCATGATTATACTTATCCCTGTTGCACTCAGTTTGACTTCTCACACTTTTCTTTTCAATTTCATTTTCTCTCCCTTTTCCTTTCCTTTAGTTTAATTTCATTTTGGCTTCTGTTTGGCTTGTCTAACTTTCCTGTCTTTTCCACTTATGCTTTTTGTCTTTTCTTCCATCAATTGAAACCTTTTTTAAACTCTCATTTTCTCTTCCTTTCCTTTTCCTTTATTCTTCTTGCATTTTGACAGGTCCTTATACTTTCCGTTCTTTAAGTGTCATTTCTAAATTGTTTCATTTTTCTCTTTTCAATATTTTTGCACTTTTGCATTGATTGTCTCTGCTAATCTAAAGTGGGGAATTTTGAAGTCAAATTCCCATTGCTGGAGTTTTACTTTAATAAAAGACAGTATATCCAGTTTTGGATGAAATTGAGATATCGATTTCACTTGATAGTTTTAAACACAGCGCACATTTCTGCCTTAGTCTGGTATCATTATCTTAATAGATAAGACGGGGAAAGTGTTTGGAAGATATTCAAAGCAACGGACTGTTGAGAGGCAAAGAGGTGTTGTTTTGGCTCTCCTGAACATTTTATGAAACTGGATATGCTGTCTTTTCAAGTAAAACTCCTGATTGTAAACTGAAACTCAACCTGTCTTTACCCAGGCTTGAACAAGAGCTCATGGCCCGCGTCCTGACTGAGGTTATGCCTATACAAGTGGCCCAGTCGGCCCCTCTGGAAGCGGCCAACATCAGCAAGGCCGGATCAGTTCACTCTGAGGAGGCCAGTGAGAGGGAAGACTCTTTGCTAGGTGAGTGATTTTAGTTTTAGGAAGAGTTTTACAGCAAGTGCCACACAGATAGGTCATGTAAGTGGTAAAGATTAAAGGTGTTATTAATTGAAACAGCACTATACCATCTCCGCACAGTTTTTGACACTCATCCAAACAAAAGCCAGAGTATAGTGATCTTCACTGACTCACTATCAGTCTTGCAAGCAATAGAAAATGATCACCATCTAAACGAAGACTTGACACATATACTGTTTGGCTCCCATCATCTGAAAACATTCTGTGGCGTCAACCTGGTGATGCAGTGGATTCCCGGACACTCAAACATACCTGGAAATGACAGAGCAGACACACTCGCCAAAAGGGGATCTAGACCGGAACAACCCAACATTCCAACTTCATACCACACTGCAAAACAAATCATTAAAAGCAACAGCAAACAAGATTGGATGAACAGATGGGCTTTGGGAAAGACAGGCAGAGCAGTTTTCAAACATATGACTACAACAAAACGAAATGACAATATCAACCACCTACAGAGAAAGAAACAGACCACGATCTTCCGCCTACGAACAGAACATATACAGCTCAACTTTCACTTGAACAGAATAAAACCAGAACTTCCCCCAATGTGTCCTTTGTGTGACTATGCATATGAGACAGTGGAACATCACCTTTTCCACTGTACAGCCCTAAATGACATCAGAGCTACCCTTCTCCCTCCGAGACCTAACTTCGACAACACACTCTACGGAACATTACAGCAACTGCAGCAAACCTGCATTTATCACTACATGGTATTGGACAAGGATCCTAGGAGGGCGAGAGCCCAGATGTTGCTGGATCGATAACAACAACAACAACAACAAAGGTGTTATTAGAGAGTAACGTACAAAGAAAAGAAGGAGGAGAGAAAAAGACAATTGATGATAGGAAAGAGAAAGCAAACCCACATCAGAGCACGCACCAATTACCCACAAGGTGAGAGGTCTGGTTGGATTACAGGAAACACCAGTGTCTGTGGTGTGGCATTTAGGTGCTTCGCCATCACACACAGAAGCCTTGAGTTTGAATCTTGTGCAGGGAGAATTTTTTATAGAGTATCTCAGTCTTTGTGCTTTAGGACATTGTATCCCTCTCGGCCGGGGCCGACTGCTTCATTAATGATCTAAACTGTATTGATTGGGATGTAAAACACCTACATTAACTAAAGATGGTTTGATATAACTATGTATCTATGACAGTTGTCATCATTAAAGAAAGTTCTTCACATTTTGCAGCTACTCTTTTACTTTGGAAATGATGTTCAGCACTTGTTTAGATCAAAAAACAATTTTTTATTTATCTATTTTTCTATTTCTATTTCTATATTCTTTTTTGAGTCCTCTTTTTTAACGGATCTCTGTTTGGTGTCTTTATGTTTTGATATTTATACAAGTTTTATAACTTTAAAAACAATTATTTCAATCTGATTGAAAGTATGAATGAAATAAACGTCAATACTTTTAGTTATCTAGTAAGTAGTACGTGTCCTTTTTGTCACACTTAAAAAACCCCTCATAACTGCCTTTCATCATCTTGAACACTTTTTTTGTTTTGTCTCAGTGGCTGATATGATTGGTCATGGAGGCTTGCAGCTATTTATAGATGCAGGTCAGCCAGTAGACAACAATCTGGTCAGTGCTTTGGTCAAGGAAGTCATCCAAGAAAGAGTTAACTCTATGCTGGCGCAACGGCCCGCTGAGGGGGCGGATGCTGTGCGTGCTATGGAGGAGATAGAGACCGTGTTGAAAGAAAAGGTAAAGTGTGCAGAGTCTATAATATATAGATACATTCGTAGGTATCCATCCACAAAATTAATTGTTAATAAATTTTATTTTGAATATGTCCCATTACAAGTAGGGAATGAAAAGTATAAGTAGTGTACAAGAACTCGGGAGATCAGAAAGCAGACTTAACTCATTTTAAGTCATTAAGGACTGTTATGATTTATTTGAACTTTTGTCAAGTGTATAATGTGAACTAAAAAGCCACAAGAGACTTAGTTTCCATCTCTGCTTGGTTACAGATTGCTTTGAGTTTGTATATGGTTTAACAATATATTTTTTTTTGCTGTTACCAAGGTCAGTTGTTTCTTAAACTAGATGAAAATACATTCATTCACAGAGTGCTGGTTAACTTCCAAGCTAAAATGGCAACTCGCAAATCATTGATAGAGAGCTAAAAGTCATTAAACGTTTGTTGTTTTAACAAAATCAACAGGTCTTAAGAGTAAAGATACTACTAGCATCGCGCTCATATGACCTTATGCAGTTGCGAGCGCCGTTAAACCCTGTACTACTACATACTACTAGCATTTCATATCAACGAGCAAAAATTCTATTGAAACTAAAGAAATTACTGTAATGACATTTATTATAATGCTGTGAGGATTCACTGATAAAGCCTTTCAGGCATTACAGAGACCTTTAAATATAGATATCTGAAAATAATTTTCTTATTACAAATTGTCAGCTTTCAAGGAGCTGCTGTTTACTTTACTTTACTACAGGTAATAATAATTTTTATTACAGCTGTTTCTTGTAAACTTTTTCATCCCTTGATATAGGAAAGAGAAGCTGGCACTCCGCAGATCCCAACCCCAGAACCGACCCCCAAAACAAGCCCCATCCCATCCCCTCGGCGACTGAAGCAGCAGGCGACAGCTCCGACCACCCCACCCATCTCCCCGCCACCCACAGGTCACGTTTTCTCTCAGCGCGTTGAGCCTGAGCCACTGGTGGAGCCAGTTCGAGCCCCGGCACCTGCGGCCGCTAAGCCTCGTTCCCCTCCACCTCAGCCAGAGCCAGAGCCAGAAGCTGTACCCACTGCGCCTCCTGCAGCTGTTGATTATGAGTCAGAGTCTTCTGTTTCTATTGATATATCGGAAGAGCTGAGACGTGTTGCAGGTCTGAGAGTTTGTTTCTTTTTTTTAACTTTTTCTTGTTTGAAAGTACTTTGATAGAATGATTATAAACAGCAAGTGCTGAAATAAAGTGATAGTAAAAAGTAAAGCTTTTCCCGCATCCGATCCGGATATTGGGGATTACTTTGTTAGTGAGACAAATTCCTGGGCCTTCGGCATATTGTGGTAGGGTGGCCAGTTTCTTTCCACGCCGCCTTTACTTCCCCAACTCGAAGTCAGGTACCCATTACTGCTGGGTGGGCAGGAGGGGGAAAAAAAAAATCCGTGTCCCGAAAACTCGGACTTTCTACTTCGGAGGCGGGTGCACTAACGCTCCGCCACGCACCCTCTAAAGTGATAGTACCGACTTGAATTATGAAAGAATTTAAGCAAGAATATTTGGATGAGTCAGTAGCACCAGCCAAACAGCTGCTTTTGAAGCGTTGTAGTTAAATGATCTCTGGAGGATATTGCAAAATGTGATTAGATTTGACCATTCTTAAAACTCATTGTGACAGAGAACATTTAAAATTGTTATGACACTGAATTTGCAGATGAAGAATTGATACCTTAGAGATCGTCTAAAGTTATGAATGCAGTAAACAAAGTTGTCATTTGTTGAATAAAATAACTCTCATTTCATCTTCCCCAGCTTCAGGAAAACCAAAACATGAGGAAGACCTCCCACTAGTACAGCGTCACGATGTAGCCACGCCCCCTATTTCCCCACCACCAATGGATGAGGAGGAAGTCCAAGTTCCAGCTCCTGTCAGTCAAAGACAAGCCACACCCCCTCTGTCACCACAGTCAGTTGTTTCTCGTGAGCCTCTACCACCTTCATCACCGTCAAAGACTCAGGCTCCTGCCCCTGTGGAATCAAAGGCAGAAAAGGAGGCAGAGCAAGAAGAGGAAGAGGAGGAGGAGGAGGAAGAACTTGAGCAGCCACATCCCATGTAAGTTTTTTCCCTCTAATTTGTTGGTCAAGAAAGCCTTATAGATAAAGAAAGTAGATTTATCAGCCGTCAGTTTGACTGATTTTTATGGGTGCAGCCTATCTTCCTATTGTCCCCCTCTAAAGTATTTATCTTCAAGATCTCAGGGATAAAGACTAGATTTTTCAGCACTCTGTAGATTAGATTATATATGTGGCTTATTTTCCCCATAAAAAATCTTGTCCGTTATCTTTTTGGTGACCACGTAGAATTTCATACGATTTTTAACACACTCCAAGTGGTCTTGCTTATCTATACTGTACAGAATTGTAAACTTCAACTCCTCATCAGCTTTTCATTAAAATATCAGACAGCCTGAATGTTTCTATCTGTCATTTTTCAAGAAGTTCAAGCATTAATTTTTTCTTAAAAATTTTTCTTCCAGTCTGATGTCTGTGGCTGTGGGTACAGACCGATCAATGACAATGGAGTCTGAGCCAAAGGAACGCCGCAGATCACCCTCACCGAAGGTAAAACAGAGAGAGAGAGAGAGAGAGAGAGAGAGAGAGAGAGAGG